GTTGTGATACTATCAAATTTTGAATCTAACGATCGGAGGATCTTTTCCATGATAGCCACATCTTCTTACTTCTCACCATTTCTTTTTAGTTGATTGGAAATGGTAATTACTCTAGAAAAGTAATCGGAGACCAACTCGCCTTCTTTCATATGCAAAACATCAAATTGACTTCTTAAAGTTTGAAGTCGTACCTTTTTAACTTTCTCTTCTCCCTTATATGAAACCTCGAGCTTCTTCCATGCTAGTTTGGCCGAAGTAGCACTTGAGATCTTCTCAAAACCATCTTCATCTAAAGCTTGATAGATGAGGAAGAGAGCCTTCTTGTCTCTCTTTCGCAAGTCTCGTAAGTTATCCTTTTGTGTTGTGGATAGAGCGGACTCATCACTTGGCTCATCGTAGCCTTTCTCCACAACCTCCCAAACGTCATGCGCTCCAAGGAGTGCCTTCATCTTGATACTCCAATTGTCGTAGATGCTTTCCTTAAGCATCGGGACTTGGAACGAAGCCATGCCACCGTTTGCCATTTCTCTCTAATGGAACCTCGCTCTGATACCACTTTGTTGGAATGGAAAAGCTTTTAGGAAATGACAAAGGCTAAAAACACAACTTATGGAAGAAGCTTCACTCTTATTTAACACCCTTACTTGACTTGATACAAACTCAAAGACTCCACCCCTATTTATACTAGTGGCACCTCCTAAATTAATGGCTAAGATTGTGTCACCACAATTACAATCCAATGGTTACAAATAATTCCACACCTACCACACAATAATTCAACACCTACCACACCTATCACACCTACTACACAATAATTTCATACCTACCACATGTTCTAGAATAAGCTTATAGAAATTAAGCTTTATTTAAACAACTAAAACAAGTTTATATTTCAACACACCACACTGTACAGATTGATGCCAATGCTTCCTTTTTGGGAAGGCTGAATACACAAGTTAACAGTATTTGAACAACGTACGAATGCATTTCTGATATAATATGGTTTAACTAAGGTTCATCTATATTGTTTGGTTTGAATTAACTACGTGATATATTTGAAGAAGAATCTAATATCTTTAATTGTTCTTTAGTATTATAGATATAAATTCTCTAGTTATGCTAATACATTTAAGGTCTTTGGGGGTTTGTTGTCTGTCTGGAATGTGAATAAAGTAACCTTATATGCTGTAGAATGCAATTTCACACATTGATGTGTTAATGTCAACAATAACAGTGGTAGTTATTAGAAGCAAGAATTGTACTAAGAACATGACATCAAGTAGTAAATAAGTGAGAGCCGGTATAAAATCTATTACCAATGTTCTGGAAGTGTATTGCAAATTAAAATTTGTGCCTAGTAG